AATAACATTACAACTTCCTTTAATGATAGGAAATTTTTATTAGGAGTCTTTATTGATCTTACAAAGGCGTTTGACACAGTAGACCACACAATACTACTAAGAAAAATGGAAAAATATTGCATAAAAAATCAAACTATAAAATAGTTCGCCAACTACCTAGACAACAGACAACAATGTATTACCATAGATCACTATAACAACTCGAAACAACTAAAAATCAAATGTGGGATTCCTCAAGGATCTATTCTAGCTCCTCTTCTATTTTAAATTCATGTCAACGACCTCCCTAAAGTCTCGTCTAAGTTAGATTGCATAATTTTTGCAGACGACACTAATCTGTTTTATTCTTCTAGCCCAATCAGTGACCTCTTTATAACCGCAAACTTAGAACTTATTAAACTTAACACATGGTTCAGAGCTAACAAATTGTCATTAAGCTTAAACAAAACTAAATACATCTTATTTCACCCCAACCAAAAAAAAACGGCTATCCCATCAATTTTACCAACTCTTAGTATAGACAACACAATTATTGAACGAACTCAACCATCTAATTTTCTTGGTGTGCTTCGTGACGAGAAATTTTCTTGGAACTCTCACATAAATACCATTAATACAAAAGTCTCAAAAAACATTGGTCTACTCTGTAAAGCAAGAAATTATTTATCGTTCGAAAATTTAAAACTTCTTTATTTTTCCTTTATACACAGCGATCTATCATATGCCAATATAGCATGGGCAAGTACCCATAAAACTAAATTAAGTTCACTCTATAGACGACAGAAACTCGCCTCAAGAATTATTTTTTATACAAACAAACTTACTCACGCAAACCCATTACTAAAACAGATAAATGCTTTAAACATTTACCAAATTAATATATATAAAAATATTTTGTTTATGTTCAAACATAAAATGGGAATTATTCCAAGTCGATTTATGAATAACTTTTTTAAAACTAATATAAACAAATTTAGCACTAGAGCAATTAGAAATTATATAGTACCCCTTAAAAAAAGTCTAAATTCTCAATAGCATATCGTGGTCCTTACTTGTATAACAAATTAATACCAAAAAATTCCTCAATATCTCTCCTGAAAAATATAAATTCCTTAAAATCTTATCTTAAAAAACTTGTCTTAAATACAAGCAGTTATATGGAAATTTTCTAACAACTTATGAGTAATTAAAATATCAAAATCATGTACAAAAAAAAAAAAAAAAAAAAATAATAATAATAATAATAATAAAAAAGAAGTATGAATATACATATATACATGTGTATGTGTATATGCATGTTTATGTATGTGTGTATATGTGTGTATGTGTATGAGAATATGTGTGTATGTATGTAGGGGAACCTGTTGTACCTTTGACCACGTTGTACCTTTGGTCACTCTACTCTGTCGGCATACTATTATTATTTTCAAAAAACGTGAAGTGCCATTTGAAACAATAGTCCATGACAACTCTTCTTACCGTAAAACATCATACTTGGGATAGATGGTATTGATCCACAAGTAATTATAAGTTTTGGCTCTTAAAAAGTAAATATTTGTGTTAACCTTTTTCTGATTTTAAAAGTGTGATAAATTGTTGTTTGATTCATCTACGACATTATAAATATTTTCCAACATCATTTTTTTGTTATGGAAAAGTTTGGATGGTTATGTCTGACCGTAAATGGGGATTAAGACGATAATTGATAAAGAAACCCATCTCGTGTACCTTTGACCAGACTAGAACGTTGTACTTTTGACCGACAAAAACTGTTTCCTTGTTAATTTGCGGACTTTAAGAGCACAAATTTATAAAGTTTATATCTACTTTATTAGGCGTCTGTACTCTATTGCTTTTTAATGCAAAATTGTTTCTAGTATAATGGTAATGAAATAATTCCATTGGATTTTAATGCAATTATTTATTTATTCTTGGACCACTACTACATTTAGAATAATCAATTTTGTTAATTTAGTTAGTTGGATAGCTGAAGCAATGTTATTATCAAGTTCATTTTATTACCTAATTTCTGCACAGCTATAGGGATTTAAATGTATAAAAATAGTTAATTCTGTTAATTTATTTTAGTCTTAAAATGTCAAGGAGCAAGGTTGGTGTTTTTCGCCAAAAGATTTCCGAAACAGATATGCTTAATTTAGTGAATTTTGTGATTCAACAAAAAATGAGTTTAAGTAAAGCTGCAAGACATTGCAACATTAAAAAATCATCTTTAATATACCAGTTAAAGCAATTTAAAAAATCTGGTAGTTGCGAATATTTATATTCGCATACCAAACCAAAAAAAATATTCTCAACAGAAGAAGAATTAATATTGGTAAACTACTTGGTAGATGCTGCAAATATGCATTATGGACTAACATTAAAGCAGATAAGGTCCTTTGCATACGAGTATGCTTTAGAAAATCATAAAAAAGTTGAAACTTCATGGATAAAAAAAAAGTGTGCAGGTGAACAATGGCTACGAGATTTTCGCAAAAGATATAATAACAAGCTATCTCTACGTAAACCACAACCTACAAGTCTTGGTAGATCTTCTGCATTCAATAGAGAAACCGTAAAAATTGTATATAAAAATTACAAAAATGTTTTAGAACGTTATCATTTTGATCCATCAAATATTTGGAACTGTGATGAAACAGGAATTATACAGTTCACGTACCACCAAAAATTCTAGCTCCAAAAGGCAAAAAACAAATAGGGAGCATGACTAGTGCTGAACGAGGCAATAATGTAACAATGATTGCAGCCATTAATGCTACTGGAAATAGCATCCCACCATTACTTGTATTTCCACATGCTAAATTCAAAGATCACATGTTAAATAATTGTCCTCCTGGAAGTGTAGAAGCATCTAATAAGTCCAGATGGTCATATGAAGTCATTTTTCTGCAATTTCTTGAACATTTTATTAATAATGTGCGACCATCAATTGAAAAACCTATTCTTTTGTTAATGGATAATCATGAGAGTCATGTAAACATTTATGTTATTGAGTCAGCAAAAAAATCAGGCATAGTTTTAATGACATTTCATCCTCACACAACCCATAAAATGCAACCTCTTGATCGTGGTGTTTTTGGACCATTTAAAACTTTTTATAACAATGCCATGAATAACGGGATGATATCACCAGGTAATGCTGGTAAACCAGTTACAATTTATGATATATCTTACCTTGTTGGTCAAGCTTATCCTCATGCTTTTGTACCAAATAATATTATAAACAGTTTTAAATGTACTGGATTTTATCCATTTAATGAAAATATTTTTACTGATATTGACTTTTTAGCTGCAAATGTTACGAATAGGCCAATAGTGAATACTGAAGCTTGCATTTCTAATGAAAGTATTAATGTTAAAACTGCTCAATCCAGTTTACCATCAACATCATCTATTGTTTTAGGGGAAATCTCTATTGTGAGTTTACCATCAAAATCATTTATTGTTTCACCTGAGATAATACGACCTCATCCTAAAGCCAAATTAAGAAAAACAAATACTTCAAAAAGGCGTAAGGGAAAATCACGTATTTTAACTGATACACCTGAAATTAAAGTTATTTTAGATGCAAAATCTAATAACCAACAATTTAAAAAGTCCTCTTCAAGTAAAAGAAAAAAAATGGCAAAACAGATTATTTTTAGTCAGTCTGACATGTGTTTAAATAATGAAAGCTCTGATGAAATTGATTTTGGAGTAAATATACTTCATGATGAAAGTGAAATTGTATCTGGAAGTTTTTTAATTTTCAAGTTGGTCGGAAAGAAATACTCTAGACTTTATGTAGCAGAAGTTATAGAAGTTGTTGGTATAGTTTACAAAATTAAGTATCTTAAGAAATCAGGAGACTTTTGTAACAAATTTATAAGAGAAGATGACAATCTTTATGAAGTGGAACTTGAAGATATTATTATGAAACTTCCACCACCAAGTATTGGTGGTGGTTCATCTAAACGTCAGTATCTTATATTTGATGTTGATCTGGCTATTTGTAATAATTAATATATTATACTCTTTTATTATTGGTTTTTTTTTTGTTGTCACCATCAAAATATTTCCTTTAAAAAGCATTATGATCATATGTAAATGAATATAGACCGCCAGCTGATATAAGTTATAAAAATCTATTTTTGCTCTTTTCTTATCTTAAATAATAAAAATAACTATAGATATTAGAAAACATATTTTGTACAACTAAATCGCATTTAAAGTTTTGGGCCTTAACCCTAAATATTTCATGTAAGTAGCATCTAACTGAAAAAAATATGTGACATTATCTAAATAGTTATAATAACTGATTTTATTTTAAAAAAATTAGTAACACTATTAGTAATACTGACTGAGTATCGTAACTTCGATAAACGAGTTTTGGCAATATTGTAAGGATTTTTTTAGACAATTAGGATTGGTTACAAAATAATAAGATAATAAGTTTTTTTATTGACAAAGGTAGGCCAGAAGTTGCTATATAACATATAAAAAGCTAAAATATTAAAGAGGTTCAAACATTGCATGATTTTTTAACCCTCCGTCGGGCGCAATATTAAAACGCGTGAAATCGGGCGCGATGTGCGAATTAGACAGAGGTTTAAAGTGTTGTTTTTTTTACAACCCATAATATAATAAACCATCCAAAAGTAATTACTAACCTTTAGAGGGATGTTTATAAATAGAATTTTAAATGTTTTATAAAAAAAAGTCTGTCTAATCATCAAATACTAAGTAGTATTATAATTTAAGTAAAAAAACAAAAAACAATCTAGTTTCAAAATAGCCATATACATTATTAATTCTAAACATCAACACTTTTCAAAATAATCTATTTGTAAGTCACAATAATGTTACTTAAATCATATTTATTCTAAATTAGATATTTCATGTTGACTTAAATTGAAGCATTCGCACAAAGAAAAGCATGGTTGACAGACTAAAACCTGATGACTCATGCAAAGAGATTGGTTGCATTTTCGACATTCGTATCACGACAACCTTCTTACGCCCGTTTCTAAAGTACACGTGACACATCTACGTCTTTTAGAAGTTGGAGGAGATTGTGATTTTTCTTGTTCAATTCTTGGACGGAATCTTTGCATCCTAATATGTAGACTATTAGGTATTCCAACTGTGTTCATGCTTCTTCTCTGTAGGTGTTCTAATACCAATTCATGTGACAACTCTTTTAGAAATAACCTTCTCCTTTTTTTTTCAAGGTTATTCCCAATGTAAATTACTTGTGAATTGATGCCTGCAACATTAAGTATTGTATAGAAAATTACCATCGGCCACCGTCTGGTGTTTCGGCTCACGTTATAAGAAGCACACATCTGATCTGCTACATCTACTCCACACTTAGTAAGATTGTAAAAAGTAATTATTTCCGGTTTCATTTGCTCTCCAGATTGAGGGTCAATGGCATCATCATCGTGCAAACTTGAAACTAGAATGACGTTCTTTCTTTCGCGCGGGATGTAGGAGACCAAAACTTTATCATTATTAAAACCAAACAAGCTTGTTTTTGCTTTTCTTCCTTTGACATTTATAAATGCAATTGGCCGCTGTTTTTTGTTTTTTCTGACAGTGCCGACATATGAAAGCTTCATAGTTTTTAATTTATCTATGAGATCGAAGCTAGTAAACCAATTATCTGCTGTTATATTTCGACCAAATCCAAATAAAGGTTCAGCCATTCTCATCACCACATCGCTTGGTTTGTTGCTAAAACAAAAAGGGCCTTGTGGTTGTTGCCCAGCATAAATTTCCATTTTGACAGTATAAAACATACTTGCATCAACTAGACTATAAAGTTTTACACCGTATTTGTTTGGTTTTGAGGGTATGTATTGCCGAAACTGACATCTACCACGAAATCCCGGAAGCATTTCATCAATAGTAAGATTTTCCCCTGGACTAAAACTTTTCTGACAGTTATCAACAAATTTTTCAAAAATTATTCGAACTGGAGCAAGGCGGTCGTTTTCTTTTCTTTGGTTTCGAGTTCTTCGATCATCAAAACGAAGACAACAAATAAGTGTATTAAACCGTTTGAGACTCATAACAAGACTGAATTTTTCAATTCCATCACCTTCTTTCCCCCAAAGATCTTCCAAACTCATTCGGTTTGCTCTATATACTCCTGCTAAATACAACAGCCCGATGAATGCTTTTACCTCAATTGCGTCAGTGGATTTAATATCTCTCTGTCGCACAAACCTATCTTTTACAGAGTCAATATAAATATTTGTGTATGTGACAATCAATTCAATTACATTGTCCGTAAAAAAGTTATTCCAACATTCGTATGGAGTTTTTGCATTTTTTGCATTTCCAATAACTCCTGGAAGATGAATGCAAATGTTGTGTGACTTTCGACGTCGACTTTTTTTTAGTGGTTTATTTAGCCACTCTGTTTTTTTATCTTTGCCCATAAAAGAGTTTCCTTCTTCTTTGTCATCTTCTTCTATTTCGTTTTCGGATTGCTCAGTTTCTGAATTAAGAATGCATTGCTCAACTTCATCTTCAGAGTCGATATCACTTTCTTCTGCAAAATTGTCTATTTCTGCGGGTTCGTCTTCAACTTCTTCCTCAAGTAACGTCCTTAGTTCATCAAATTGAGACGCCATTAAATTTTTCTTTAAAAAATAAATTATGACATAATTAGGCGCGATGTGCATGTTAGGCCATTTGAAGATTTTCTATTTATTTTTATCAAATACGCAGAGTTAGTTTAATATTACTAGTCTAAAATGAGCAAATTAAACAAATGTAAAAAAAAAAATTAAAAATACCTACTTAAATAAAATGGCTTATTCGGGCGCAATGAGCCTATCAGAACACACAGGTCAATTAATACTCTTTTTGTTATCTGAAATGTAATTTAGTAATAGAGTTTTGAAAGTCTTAAAAAAAAAAGAAATTACTAGAAAGTATAATTTTTTGGGAAAATATGAGAGAATATTATATAGTTTAAATGGTTTAAGTTTACTCAATAGACTACGCAAAAAACGCCTTAAAGCAAAAAGTGGTCAAAGGTACAACAGGTTCCCCTATGTGTATTTATGTATGTGTGTGTATGTGTATGTGTGTATGTATATATATATGTATGTATGTGTGTGTGTATGTGTGTATATATGTATATATATGTATATGTGTATGTGTATATGTATGTATGTGTATATGCATGTATGTGTATATATATATATATATACATATATATATATATATATATATATATATATATATATATATATATATATATATATATATATATATATATATATATATATATATATATAAAAGTATATGTGTATATGTATGTGTGTATTTATGTGTATGTGTATGTATGTGTGTGTATATATATGTGTGTGTGTGTATGCGTATGTGTGTATGTGTGTATGTATATATGTATATATATATGTATGTGTATATGTATACATGTATATATATGTGTGTATGTGTGTGTATATATAATATATATATATA